GGGAGCCCTCGGTGGGGCCGTGCCCGCTCTGGGCGCCCCGCAGCCCGGGAGGGAGCCGCCTCCTGCCCGCGGCCCGGGACGGACACCGGCTGGTTTCGCGGGCGGTTCCTGCGGCTTTTCAAGCAGCTGCCAAACTGCCGGCTAAATGCAGGCTTGCAAGTGCTGCGTTAGGAGGGGAGAAAACTAAAAAAATCTGTAGGTTCTTCTGACAGAGTTCATGAGTATCCAGTCTACAGCCAGGGCTGCTCACTTCTTGTCTGCGAACTCCCACAGTCTTGCTTACGGCGAGTCGCGGTAGAGGAAAGCTGAACGACGGTACAGAGATTTATTCTGTTTGTCCGAGGAAAGACTGCGTTCAGGTACTTGCTCACACCCTCCCATACTTGCTGAGAAGATTTAGTCCTCCGAGTGTGGGAGTCTCCAGTTCCCATATTTCAGTTGGCATTTTCTGAGTAGTTAGCTGTGGTTTTGAAGTCTTCACCAGTTTTATCCTAATCGTTCCCAAACGCATAAATACAGCTACTCTCCTAGGTGGGTGCACACTTACATATTCTTTAGCATGGGCTGTGTCATTCCCTGGGGAGTTTGAGTGCTGCGATGGGCTGTGACAGCGCAGAGGGCAGGGCGCGCTGTGCACGCGGGCAGGTACGCAGCAACTCCGCTGCCCAGTTAATAAAGGTTTTATGGTTTAATGTCTCTTGCGTTGAAGTCTTCTTGGCCAGAAGACAATATACTTGGATCTTAATATATGGTTGCACTAAAGTTTCGATGACTTGGAGTTATTTCAACTGTGAGTTCATTAGCCCCTTTGAATACAGTGAAAGATACGTTGGTCGTATTTTTTTCTCAGACATTGCTGTAGGAGTAGTAAGGCTGGAGGGCACAGATGGGCTGGGCACTGGTTGTGGGTTGGCATAGTCATACATCAGATATTACTTCTCAGAAGAAGTGGCCTGCTTCCAAGTGTATGTCTTCTGTTGTGATGCGCTTTTTTTTTTTTTTTTCCCCCTTGGAATAAAGAAACAGCTGCTTGTGATGTAAGCCTTTCCTTAAAATGGTGCATTTGGAGTAGGATATGGCTCCACTACAGTCAGCAGACACATAAAAAACCCCTGTATTTTTGGGCTGAAGGAGCTAAGCTGAACATTCTCCATTCATATGATACTCAGGCACTCCATTTTCTTAATGAGTCTTTTCTCTGCCTGTTATAGGAAGTAGCCTGCAATTTGTGTCCTATGAGTGCTCTCCATTGAGTCAAGCATGATCTTGTCTTGTATTTACAATTTCTAGTGAAGTGAATATACATGAATACATATGACTAAATTGTTTTGCGTTGCTGAAGTTGAGAGCAGGTATCATTCTCAAATCGCTCTTTACTCAGTGTGATGAGACCTTTCTTCTCTCTGCATCTCAGGCACACCAAAGTTATTACCCATGGGTAAATGGTATCACCACCATGTGATTTCTTTAAAAATCATCCAGCCAAGGAGGTCACTCTTTTTATGGTAATAAGAGACAAGTACATCCCCTGATGTTTTTTCATAAGCCTAATTTAACTGCTTGAGGGGAAACGGGCAGATTTTAATAAAACTATTTTAACTAGCTTGTGCCATTAAAATGTTTGAATTTAAGCTTTTTTTCTGTTTTGGGGGAGCTTCCCTAGTAGTGAGCTAGCTTTTAGACTACCATATAAATATGCCTTGCATTGTTTAAGCTTTCTCACATGTTTAGTCATTTTTCATGTAAATAAACTCTAGATCAGATCAGCTACTGAAATGGAGCATAACTGTGCTGACATCAAGATAGCTGTGTTCATTTGTACCAGCTGAACATGTGTCCCTTTATGGTCAAAACCTACATGTGATCTGTTTTTAAGTAGAGAACAGAATGGCTTGTTGGTCAGATAGAGGAATCACTGTCAAGAAACACAAGCTTTTATTTCTGCCCCATTCCTGACTTCTTGCGTAACTTGGAGCAAGCACATAATTCCCTTACACTTCTGTAAATTGAGAAAAATTCTTTCCCATCCCACATGGATATTATTCGGTTTAATTTAGTGATGCATAAAATGGGATAAATACTTTGGTTAAAGTTGGTGTGCAGAGTGTCAGAGTATGAAAATACATTTTAAAGCTATGGGCCATTTCCTCAGCTGAGTTAAGTTGAAATGGTTTCCTTCAACCCCTGAAGATATGTAGGTTCATGCAAGCTGAAGATTTGATCCATACGTATTTCTTGAAAAGCCTTCTGTGGTTCAGCCTATACAGGGAATACCGGGTTTTGCATATAGGAGAGGCTGTGAAGGCTGGAAGGACTCTGTAAATGTTACTTGTTAATGGTCTCTATTAATAGCAGGAAAAAAGCTTGTGTTAAATTTTACAAATTGGCAATGCATGTAAAGCTGAAGTAAATTTGATTCTGCTGGCTGCACATAAGTGAAATAGGTCACCATCACTACTCCTCTGGTGAGCTTTTTTCCTCCTTTGGTTTGACGACACTTTGCAGAGCTTGAAGAGAAAAATTATACACAGCTCCAGTATACTTACTTTATTAAAAAAAAAAAAAAAAAAAAAGTGTATACTCTAAAGGAAGGGAATAATAAAGCTGAGGAAACAGAAAAGTATCTTCAGGCTACTTTGCTGTGGTAAAATGACTTTGCTTTGAATTCATATATACTGTACTTGCACAATAGAATGTAAAACAGCATTTATTTACTCCATGACGCTGGGTGACCCACTTATTTCTGTTCCATATTAAATGGCGAGGGGGACGAACATCATCTCCAGGTGAATATTTCACTGTTCTCCAAGGATTTTGTCCTTTTCAAATTGTACAGCTTGTGTATATGTCTGAGGTATTCTCACTAGATGTGGTTGGATGAGAAAATTAGTTTTGGCCCATGCCATGTAGACCTTTAAAAGAATAGGCCTGAGGGGGAGATTTTATTTAATAACCCTTTACACCCCTGCATAGCATTCAAGTCCTTCAGCACAGCCAGAAATGGATTTGTGCAGCTGTGAAAGGTATTGGCTGGTGTGCAAAGGACAGTCCAGCTCAGACAGACATAGGTTAACA